TATATCCAGCACACTTTTATTCATACAGGGCTTTATGATTATAACTAGTATTTGTATCACATTGAGTACAGCCGCGGCTCCGGGATCATCAAACATACCGGACGAGTGGGATTGGAGGAAGTATGGGATGGTGACCCCTCCCAGGAATCAAGTGATTATTGACACCTATTATTATAATATATATTTTTTATTGTATACATAAATCTCATGTAAACCTTATCTACACCCCTATCAAACACCAGGGAAAGTGTGGCTCGTGTTGGAGTTTCGCGGCCGCCTGTGTGCTCGAGAGTCTGTCCTTTCATCACATTTTCCTAATAATATATAAGATTTTTGTATTAAATTATACCCTCTTTTAGGTCATAACATGAAGAGACTGATAGCGGAGGGAAAGTTTGATCCCAAGAGTCAACCGAAGATCACAGTCAGCGAGCAGAATATGATCGACTGCTCCGGAGATTACGGTACTCTAGCCTGCGAGGGAGGTCTGTATTGTCGATATAGTCATGAAAGGGTGATATATATAATAGCCATCACCCGCTCATTTGGTAGGTATGCCTCAGCAAGCGTTCAAATATGTGTACGAAAACAAAGGCATTAACGGAGTGGATGTCTACCCGTACACTGGAAAGGTATGTCTCCCGTGAAAGACATGATTAAAGTGAAAGTTATATGAATTGTGTCGCTCATTACCACCAGAAAGACAAGTGCGGCTACAATGTGGCCAATAGGGTGGACGTGAATGTGAGGGAAGGGCAGCGCCTGGAGTCGGGAAAGGACAACGACTTGGCGGCCGCCATCTATAACTACGGACCCGTTGCCATCGCAGTGCATACCACCGACGATATGCTTGCTTTTAAGTGAGTGGAAAGCCTATTTCATTGGGTTTTCATTGGCACCGGTATTCTTGTGTATCTCTCCATTAGGAAAGGCATTTTCAATGACCCCAAGTGTAACCCCAATGACGTGAACCACGCGGTCGTAGCCATCGGCTATCATAAAGACTACTTTATCATCAAAAATAGGTGTCGTTCCCCTCTAAGCGTACGCTAAATAAATGCTAAATAATTTGTTTTTTGGATAAACAGTTGGGGCCCGGAGTGGGGAGAGGGCGGGTTTATCAGGATCTCCAGGAGTAAGCTAAACAACTGCGGGGTCTCAGAGCAGGGATACTATCCTATAGTTCCCAATGCCGTCGAAACTCGAGCCATGATTGACAAACTCAAAGTGGTTTAGCACGTGTCATACAAATGTAGTTTTTGTAATTAAGTAATTCAATTAATAAAAGTAATTTTGATCGTAAAATATTTGAACATACTGTATAAATAGCTACAAAATGATTTTATTTTCAAATTATTTTATTTTATTATATAATATTCGTGTAATGGTTGACCACTTTTAGCCAAAATAGTTTCGAGGAATGCCTTATCCGAGGGATCGATAGCCAACGCGAGACACCTGTCCACGCAAGCTATGAAGCCAGTCATGACATCAAAACCCCTTTTGCGTGATTTATGGGCCAACAGTCGGTTAGTTTCGGTCATTTCGCCGTTGAGTAGGAGGTGCTGGACATAAGCACCGTCCAAATGTTGGCAATATATGTCTTGAATAGAGTCCAGGAGCCGATCGCTCAACGGTTTGGTATGTTTTGATGCCATGTTTTTCTGGCAATAAACTAAAGTTAATTAAATTTTATTATGAGATAATAATTAATTATTTTAAATCTGTGCTTTTTAATTAAGCAAGTTTTGTAATGTTAAATGTAATTTTAAACTTTTAAATTCGTGTTTAAATTACATTATTTATACGTACAGTAGTTTAAGGCTGAAAATGTCAAGCATTTTTGAATACCCGTCCGTTTTATATTAGGTACAGCAGTTTTCACATTTTTGGGACATACAGTATTTCCAATGAATAATTACCAGTTTTATGAATACCTGGCCGGTTGGGTTATTAATATTTATCTTGGATATTTACATTCTGAATAAAAGTTATTTGATTTATAAATTAAATATAAAAATTAAAGAATAACAATTAAACTTAAAATCATTTATCAAAATTTTGCACAATAAGATTAATGTGTAATTTGCGTTTACTTTGACATTAAATTTATTTTTGAATTTTAAAAATAATATCAAGTTTCCCGCATATATCATTTACACTAGTACATTATAATGTACTGTAGTTGTTTATCGTATATAAGGTATACTTAAATCATTTTAATTAATAAGAAATACCTGTCAAACAATACTTAACCTTATACTTATAAATTATTATATTGTATTATTGTATGATTCATAATTTTATGACAATATTTAATGGAAAATTTATGTGTAGTTTACGTGATATAATGAATAAAATTCTGACTATACTACGAAAATAAAAACATAAATCACATGATATCGTTGGCTAATAAACATAATTAGTTTATCGATTTATTAATTGTTTTTTAAA